CTACGTCTACATGGCCTGAGCATGACGATGAAACTCTGGTGCACTTTCGGGCGACTAAGCGCTGTGGATCAGACTGATGCGCTTATGCCAGTGGCATCTCAGGGTATCTTGCTAGTCGCAACTCATCTGCAAGGCTTGAAGCTTTCAGCATCTTTCCGCCATCCCGACAACGAAGAGTATGTTCTGCAAGCTTCCCTGCATGTGGCTGCCGGCATGAGCCATCCAAGATTTGCGACGCACAAGATCGGAAGGTCTGAAAAGATCCGAACGACAGGTGCGACGGGTGCTTCCGGGCATCTGCTCTGACGATTGGCGACAGCACATGGAAACGTCGAGCACGAGCAAAGCCTACTTGCCTTGCACGGGACCTGCCTCAGACTGGAGGAAAATCGCTTGCTAGCAGTCTGTACTCAGAACGCAGAGCCAGTAATGACACCTCGTCGTCTCGAGGTGTCCGGCCGCCGTCCGAGTTCACAAAGACTATGAGACGGATGATGGCCCAGCCTTGTCTCTGGAAGAAACTGGCCAGTGATTCTAGAATCCTTACGCCTTTAGTCAAGTACAGTACATCTTGACAGACCAGTGTTAAAATCGCTTTTTAGAATTTACCTGCATATCAGCATATACCGTCACGATGGACAACATAAAGACTTGCAAACACAGTCCGGCTGCGTGCGCACAAGCCAGCTTGTCTTGTATGCTTCACGTCTGCCAGAACCTTTGCCCGCCGGTGGAGATGCAGCTCGTGACGTGTCCTACAACTGAATCGGGCACGCTCCAAAAGGTTGGCGTGGTTTTGCGCGGACCCTTCTGGCTGCCGAGCAGCCCGACAAAATCAGCGGAAGGCACACAAAACATGATGATATACTGGCCAAGCATCCGCCATCAAGCGATGTCGTAGGATCTTGCAAGCCACTACCGGGTTGATAGCAACGAGCCATGTATCCCGGGGCACCTTAGTTGATTCGATAGCCTCTGCCAGCTGTCAGTAGCCCAAGAAACCTCCAAGAAGCCACTAAAGGGTGTGTGTGTGTGTGTGTCAGGCCGCAGCTCCAGCTCGCTCTTTCCCGTCATTACGAAACTGGGACTATAAGGTCGGCTTCTGCTTGGAACAATCGCAAACTCATCCCAACACAGCGTGGTGGCACCTCTGTCATTCTCGCCGCCGAAATCCGGATATCCGGATTCTGCTGCAGGTTCTGAGACCCTATACGCGGTCTCCGAAACGGAAAATGCAGAACTTACCGGCAAGATCGGCTCGAGCCCCAATTCGCTCATTGAAGCAAGAAGCGCAACCTGTGCAAATTCACTTCGCGGTCCCCTGCCGCTCTCTGCACCGTGTGAGACATCACCTTTGGGCCCTTTAGGTTTAGCCGGTGCCTCGAATGCCAAAATGTACTTTTTTGTGGTACCGGACTGGATGACTGCTAGCATTGCCTCTTCTGCCGTTCTTCAGCCGGGGCCCGAAAACCTCGCATCACCTTTCGGGGCTGTCCCGCCCTAACATAAATGAAGATGCCCCTACGAAGACTGTGAAAAGCATGTTCTGGAAGTGAGGTCAACAGTGCTGGGGAGTGTCTTTACCACAAAAGGGGAATGCGGCTTGCCCTTCTTGCCCGGCAGGAAATGGGCATGTCACTAAGATTTGCGATGTAAGCAAGCCAACATGAGCTGGCTTTTCCGGACGACCATCTGAGGCAAGTGATGCAAGACCTAGCAGCAGATCCAGGTGGCGCACAGAACCGGAATGGCAACACCAATGACAGCAAAAAACATGAAGAACCGGAATGGCATCAACAATGACAGCAAATATGGCGGTGCTGATGCTATACTGAATAAGCAACAGTATACGAGGCACATGGTGGGGAAAGCAAAGATGCTGATGAGGTTCGTTTTCTGGATGCTGGTAAGCGCCGGGACGAAACCACGAATAACCGTGAATTACAGCCGAGGGAATAGCACTGCTAGTAAGAATCTTAGAATGGCAGTCACAACAAAGCTGACCACACATCTCCAAAGTTAACCATGATGTCACCGTAGCAATACCGTATCAGAAGTGCGCGTAACATGGCGATAGTCACAATGGTAGCACTGTCAAGGCTCACGACCTTTTCTTCGATGATGCAACAATGCAGTCGACCACTCCCTTTCCGGGTTGACCCGAAGCCTGCCGCCGAGGCAGCACAAAGTCCGTAGAGTATTGACGTACGCTTTGTTAGAGTTACCGTTTCTACCAGATCAGTAGCCTGGCATCTATGCCGGAGCGGCGGCAGACTTCCATTCACAAAAGCACAATGGCACTGGAGCAGCAAGAGCGCAACTGATGTTACCAGCAAAACAGAGCTGAGATGCATTGTTCCAGATGATATCAGGAATCATTTGTGAGTTGTTTCCGCCCCCTCCAGCACTCAGCAGTTATTCGGCGGATGCGGCTACAGTATAGAAGTTTATAGAAGTTGTAGCACGGTTCGGTGCTTCCGATCATGTTGTCCAACAGTTGAAGAATCGCATTTGCGATTCTTTGTCTAGTCGCGGGCACAACCTGTGTTATTGCTGGCGGCGACATTAAAAAGAAACGTCATCGCCTGGCAGGTTGTGAAAGGTTGCATACGCCCGCGAGGTATACGACCCAGCTGATCTAAAACACACGCCGAGCCGAGCTTTCGGGATCTTCAGAAAGTTACTTTGCAATAAACAACTTCGTCAGCATCTGCCGCGGAGCTCCGGACCTGGCAGGTCTTGTGGCTCCCTGTCCTGGCACGACCCTGCAGACCCTTGCGGACAAGACCTGCCTAGCAAAATGCGCATCTTGCAATACCGGCCTGCGAAGCAGTTCCACTCAAGGTGGAAGCTATCTCGGTAGTGTCCAAAGTCCCCACGCTCTCGACCAATAAATCGCCCTCTTCATCCTCGGCAGTAGCAGCTGCGGGGTCCTCGCAGAAGGCCCGAAGCCTACAGTTCGTCTTGTTTCGGGGTGCGGCATCCTCGCTCCGGATCCCTACGCAGCGGGAAGACACCGACAACCAATACTGTCAAAGACACCCCAGATGCAACCCAGGCGTGACACGTACATGCTGGTTTCTCCTTGTACCTTTTCAGGCGCTTGGCGATCTCCGCCACTTGCTGCTGCTGCAAACCTTCTGACCCCAGTGGGGAGAATGGCAAGGCCAACACATTGAGCAACTCCTGGAAAATGTCCTCCGACGCAGACGCAGGCAAAAAGAGAAACATAGAGAAACACTCTCAAACTGTGCATATAGCAGGTAAAAATGAAGCCATGATGTTTGCACCAGGGGCGCGAGCAGCAGCTTGCCTGGATCATGGCGACCAGAGGTTGCGTAGGCGATGCTGCGGCTTTGGATCTCCAGTTCTAAGCTTTCAATGCGTGGAAAGTCGAAATGCGAGTCGGCGATAACGGTCACGAGCTCCAAGTTCCGCCCGCCAGGAGCACAAGCAGGCAGAAGTATCTGGGTGAAGCCTGGATCGCGAAAGAGGCCCCGGAAAAGCAAGACCACGAGATAGTAGGCCCATGGCCGGTAGCTCGTCATCTGAAGGGCATCATGCACCACTGCACACTCAATCTGCATGTGAGCTTGTAGCAGCTCCTGTTCGGGCTTTGGGAGGTCTGTTACAGTCATGGCTCTTGATTGTGACATAATACCGTACGCACCCTTTCCACACATTGAACGTGCGTATCATCAATACCGGAGCATGCTGCTTGCAGAGTTTTGCATTGAACGGACTACAGCCAAGAGTGCTCATAAAGTCGTGGCTATAGCAGGGACACAGCTTTATTTAACAAAGTGCTCCCACTGTATCTACCAAATGCTCAGATTGCAGCTTACCTCGTGATGTGCGGCTCCTTGAAGACCTCCAGGGCGAGCGATGGTGCAGGGAAGGGGTCATATTTGATATGGCAACAGGAAAGGATCTCAAGCTTAATTAAGGTGTAGTCACCAACATGCTTAGCGGCTTAGCGGTTACCCAACATGCCGCCTCGCGGCATCTGCAACAGAGCTCGTGATAAGGATCCTGGCCCTTGCTGGACTGCGGGGTGAGGAGACGCAGCCCTCGATGCTATGCATCCGCCACGACTTGAGACCACACACTCGAAGTATCTCCACAACAGCTGCCTCGCGTCCGGAAACCTCGGCAAGCAAAACCGGGTAGGTACTTCATGAACCCCGCTAGCCGTGCCATGTTTGTTCAGTAACGAGAAGATGCCATGCTGCTCTACACGAACAACATGCCACGAATCTCAACCTACTGGGGCAAGCAATGGACCGGACCAAATCGTGGCATATCGACTGGAGTCAGCTCATGCTGAAGCCACGCATAGGCCAATTGAATGTCGTCAATCACCACTCCAAAGTTGACCAAGGTTTGCCTCTGCTGAGGTGTCCACAGAGCTGGGATCACTTCAACCTCCTTCTCTGACAGAGGCCGGAAGCCATCACAAATCACCGGGACGGTTGTGAACCCATTCTTCCACGCAGTTGTAATTTCGCCAGCGCACCAAACTCCTAGGTTATGACAACCCCACTCGACTGAAGTGCATTCAATGTCGCATTTCTGTCAGGATCAAGTGCCCTAGCAGTCCCAACTTGAAGCCCAGGCTCTTTTCAACAACTCTGGCGTGAGCACAACTACAACACTCCTCGTGGATGTCCGGACGATGTCGAAAAGAAAATCCAGGTTCTCGAGATAATCGCAATCCAGGAAGTCACGGGCGGAAGTTTGCTGTGCAATAAGGATCTTCATCAAGCGGCACATGCTGGCTGAACCGCCCTTGTGGTGACGAAGGAAAACCCCAAAAAAGTTGCTGCCTGCGCCGGAAATCCTTGATGGCCGCGCGTGCAAGGCCGACGACCGCCACGATCAAGATTCCGACGATTGGTATGCAAAGAAGCCATCCCAACACTGCCGTAGACTCCTCCACGTCCAGCACCAAGAGGGGTGCTGCCCCCAGCAGAACCAAAACTAGAAATGTCGTCAGAATGAGGTCAACGAGGTTTGCACTTGCAGTACGCCATGGGCATGTGTAAGCCTGGAAATTGTTAACGACAAGTAGAACTGCACCCATGAGTGGCACCTGAAGTTCTGGCAACCCAGCCAAGACGATCGGCAGAAGAGCCACGATGGCACTGCGATGCAGCACCACCAAGCCTGCAGCAGTATCCGTGAATGTGTCAGCAAATGTCATCTTCTATCAGTCTTTGAAGTCGTATAATCCTGCAGGCAACGAGCTTGCCCTCAAGTTTCTGCCCAACCTCGACCAAGGAACCGTAGTAATACTTCTCGGGCTTGAAGCGCTGAAACAGGAAACGGTACCTGTTTGCGAAGCGAAGGCCTTTGCCGCTGCCCACGAGCGACGGGTAAGTCAGTGTGACAAATGTCGCCCATCCCAGGAACGCAGCAGGCTGTGTCAGGATGCCTGCGATACGTGCCGTCCAACGACTGTCGAAAACTAGGCCAGCATAGATCTCCAAAGAGTGAAGGACCATACAAGAAGTGCATGAATGAGATCAGGAAGACATGATCATCAGATCACCACCCGTGATGCACTGTCACTCACACTCGAATTATGAAGGGGGAAACGTGGTTTTAGATTATTTTCGTGTCGCGAGTCCATGTGCTGTGCGTGCTGCACGTGCCGTACTCGCGTGCGGGCGTGCTGTGTGTGCCAAGCGTGGGGCTTGCGGGCGGGCACGGACAGCATGCAGAATCCTCTGTTAATAGGAAAAGACAGTATAAGACGCAAGTGAAACTACATACCGCACGACGCCGTGTGAGTCCTGTGTACATGTTGTGTGTTTGTTTACTTATTCATTCATGAATTTTCTTATTTACTTGCTTACTTCCTTATATATATATCTACATATATGATACGGGGAACAAAGTTGGAGCATACGCAATAGGACGGGGAGCTATTTTGGCGTGCACGCCCGCCTCAAGCGAGTCTCTTTGCTCTGAATGCAAGAACCCCTCAGTATCGGCACACTGTTTGGGGAATCATCAAGGCCGAACCCGAAGCCCCCGCCCACCCACTTGGGTCCTCCCACAGCAAGGGCAACGAGGGCCACGTGCTCGGTCGACTCGTAGCACATTATGCTTGGATGCGATACCATGGAAGTGCTTCCGTTCGGGCTGGATATGCATTGAAACGGAATGAGAGTACTTCGTGTGATCGACAAGAAAAAGGCGAAAATCAATACCCCACAGTTGTGCACCAAGCTATTGACTGGCTTCGGCCGTCCAAGCATCCTTGATAGGAGCCAGCTGAGTAGCAACAAGATGCACGCCGCGGGGCATGCCAGCATCTGGCTGACAAAATGCAAGGTCGGGCTGTCACTTCCATAGAGGCACGTAAAGCGGATGACGTGCAAGTCGAAGGTCATTACTTTGGCCAGGTTCAGCAGTGTTTTGACAGGCTCTCTCCATTGGATTGACAGTTCCTGGATCGAAGTCAGGGCTTGAATCGCCATGATGAGCTGGCTTGTGATCGAGGCCGCCGTGAGCATGCTCAGGCCTTGCACCAGCGAAGGTCTGCTTGGATGCTAAACTCTACAACCTGCTGACGTTCTACTGGCACTGATGTGGAGAAAAAAAAAGCCGGTTGCATTGCCCACACTGTGAGCCATAACTGAGTCTGGTCTATACCTAGAGAGGCTGTCTCGTGTGATGAACGGCTTGCTCGATGGAACCGGTGGGCACAATGTCGGCTGTCAAGGTGCAAGAGTCACAAGCGACACGACGCATCCTGTCTTGCATGTCTACTGAGTCTACTGTATGTGCAAGCCAGTTGGGAACACGGCTTGGGTCCAGAGTGGAGATGCTCAGCAAGTACAAGATGACGACGACCAGCATAAGTATGAGAATTCCTGGCATGATGTCCGACTGGTTGCACGGCTGACACGTGCCACCTTCGGGGAAGTGGCGTTCCTTGACAAAGACACTGAAGGTCTGCATGAAGTGCTTTTCGTGGCTTAGCTACTGCTTCGTCTGCAGTTGAAGCGTTCTAAGGGGCGGACCTTGCAATTGTTGCAGGCAGGCCTCTCTCGGCCAAAGGCGCACTCACCAATGGCTCCTTGAGGACACTCGAAGCGATCCCGGCAGCGGAGAACAGAGAACTGGCAGGAGTCAGAGCCATCGGAAAGCTCCATGGCCCAGAAACCGCTCTTCTGCAGTGGAGGGGCAAGACCCTCGGGGCAGTGAAGCCCTTCAGGGCATGGAAGACAGCCAGCTTCCCCGCACATGAAGAAAGCCTTCGGGCAAAGACATTCCGTCTCTGAGGAGGCACCACTCTCCCGAGTGATCTGATTCTTGCCGCATGGCAGGCATTGAGTACCCTCAGCGAGAGGCATGTAGCTGCCCAAGCCACACCGGTTGCAGGCCTGCATGCCTGGGACGGGTGCTTCAAAGCCCGGCAAGCAAGGAGTACATTCTACAGAACCGATGTCGCCAGCGAAAGTGCCTGCAGCACAAAGGCTGCAATTTATCATGCCTGTGCCATTTGTAAAGGATCCTCTGGGACATGACACAGCTTCAGCGACAGGCCCCCCCAGGCACATCTTGCCCTGTTGACACAATCGGCACTGCCCCGACAGCTCATCCTTGTAAAAGCCTTGGTCACATGAGTACAAGTGCGGTGGGGGATCGCTTCGTCGCGAACCGTCCATCCACACCAAGTCCCTCTGAAACGAGAAGTCTGAGCTGGAAGGGCTGAAGTAGGCGGCAATGACAGCTTCACCATCGGCGTGCATGTTCAGGAGCTCGTACGCCACGCGCCGATCGCCATTCTGATCGAAGGTCACTTCTCCAGAGACGCCCGTGAAACGGATCCGGCGCAGCTCTTCAAGGAGCAAGCGGCCCTGAATCGCACTGGGAGCAGTCCCCGCATGAAGGAGCTGGTTGATGGCAATGGCAAAGGCATAGAACGCATCGAAAGCAAAGCCAAAGTATGCATTTAGCCCGAGGGCTCCTCTGTCAAGGCCCTCCTCGATCGCGCCATTTGCCAGTGGTTCCCGCGTATTGTCCATCTTGTACCGCTGCCTCAACTCTGCTTCTATGCCGTCCTCTGCTTCCAGCAGAGACCATAGCCGCTCGAATTCCGGAAACAAGACTCCTTTGCCACTTGCCCTGAACACCATGAAGCCTGTCGGCCCTCGTCGGGAAATGATTGAGTCAGCACAAGTGTCTGAACCTACGATTTGCCACTCCGGGCTGAGCATTCCCTCCTCGTCAAGAACGGACAGGAAGTCGTCGACCACAGCCCTCAGTGCCGGCATGATGTGTTTGGTGCCAAAAAGCACGAAGGTTCCCGAGAACGCATTCCAAAATCGACAATGTTTCGGCTTGCGGTGGGGTTTGCCAAACAGAATAGAAAGTGATAGGAAGCCTTCTCCGCGTGTTCTGAAAAGGGCCTTCTGAAGCGAGTGTTTAAGCAAGCGCACACACACAAAGTCTAAGCAACTGTGTGCAATTATGGGGTTTCCACATTTGAGGAGGCTCCTGTGGGAATATTTAGACTCTCGCAACTCGCACACAAAGGTATTTCCGAAAGGAGTGCTCAATGTGTTGTCGGGACGCCCCAGTCTGGGAGGCTGCGACTGCTCAAATCAGCAAAACCCAGGGATCTTGGAAAAAACAAATCAAGAAAGACCGCCAACAACTTGTAGTTGCGGGCACGAAAGATCGACAGCCTATAGCATCTGCTTATGAATCTGATTCTTGCTTGCTTGCTGGGCGTTTGGAGAGTGTGGCAAGACCCCCGCCCCCCCTGCGCTGATGCACCGTGAAACATGACAGCGGTCCCGGAACCAGCTGGGCCGGAGAGCCCCAGTGTGGTGGACCCCCGAACTCCTGCCTCGGCTGTCTCGCTGGTTCCGGACCCCACTCGTGCTCCACGACTTTTGGTCATTGCCAAGAACTCTCTGTCCCTGGTTGTGTTTGCAAACACCTGCACGCTTTCCACTACTCAAACAAGTTTGTTCCCGCGAGGCCTCGAGCACTGACTTCTCTACCGCAAGCTGGGGCTCCGAAAGTACAGCAGGCGCTAAAGGTAGATCACCAGAACATGACCAGTAACTGGTAAGTTTTATTGTGCCCCTGACTTGCTCGCTCTGGGTGGCAGAAGGTCCCTCAGAGAATAGGAAGCATATATGATTCTTCTTGTTCACTTCAACTCAGCCAAAAGAAGAGCTGGCGGGCTCTCCCTCGCGCACGAATGCGCACTGGTCCCACGTCTGCGTGTGAGATCTGCTGACGAGATGAGGCACGGTTGGGCCACAGTGGTGATCCCCCCTTAACACTACAGCGCTAGTCTAGACCCCGCGCCTCGTGCCTCATCTTCCCCCGTGTTGAGGGTTTTCCGTCTGTGTTGCTGCAATGGCTCTGTTTGGGCACCGTGCTACACGAACACCAGGATTGACTAGCTCAACACTACAACACTAGTTGCACTGTCCCCCGGTGCCTTTGGCCTACAAAGTGAGAGGTCCCGGCCATGCGAAAACGACTTATCTACACTGTTGAGAACATGCTACTAGCCACAACTTTCCGGTCCTCGACTCATGCAGCCTCTACTCTAGTGACTCAGGACTTTGGATACTATGCGGCAGCCCCTCGTATTGTCTGACTCCTATGGCCCCCGACTCATCAGAACCGAATTCGCACCTACTTTAGATTTTTTCGGTTGCCATGTTTGTTAAAGAAAGCTGCATGCAACCGTCGCCTACGGTGGGTGCTTTCGCTCAGTTCATCTTCTTCTGGTTTGTCAGGTGGTCCCCCCGCGAAGGGATCTTCAGCCCCCGCTGCCGCCAGCAGGTCTTCTTCAGTCTGTCTTTCGTAGGCTTCCACTGCAGCCATGAGCTCAGCATCCGTCGGCTCGTCAGCCGGGGGCTGCGGGCTCGCTGGGAACCCCCCGAACCTCGGGATGCTTCCCGACCATTGGTCCCCCCCCCGTGGTGGGACCCATTTCGTCGGCCCAAACAGCAAGCTTGAAGGCGGTTCCCCCCCCTCGTCCGTGGTCTGAGTGTCCCCGTGGATGCTCGCATTCCCCTGTTGACGCTGTCTCCAGTCGACGAGGGCTGCCAGTAACGTCTGAACTTGTTCTCCCCCAGCTGTGAGGAAAGGAACTGTGGCCCGTATGTCCCGCATCACTTGAAGGATGTGCTCTTCTGGATAGTTCCCCTGCGTGTCGGTTTCTACTGTCCCCCTTCGACCAAGGCTGTGACGTTGGCCGGGTGCACGTAGTGGGTGATCATGGTCTCACCGAATGGGTCCCCCGCTTCTTCAATCAGCAGGGAGACTGCTTGCCCCCAGCCCGTCGAAAGCGAGTCCAGATCCCCATTTAGTGTGGCGTGCATGGCGGTTTGAACAGCGGCTCTTGCGCTCTCGACGCTTTCAAGGGCAAGTCGAAGATGTTGCCCCCCCTTGTCCCACTGTAGCCGCTTGTAGCTGCCTCACGCCCGCCTCGAGGTCATAGAGGCCAGTGCTATGATTCTCACTTCACTTGACTTCACTTCACTTCACTTCACTTCACTTCACTTCACTTCACTTCACTTCACTTCACTTCACTTCACTTCACTTCACTTCACTTCACTTCACTTCGGGGTTCAGAGGGCTTGTCAAGCCCGCCGCGCTGAGAAGCGCGTCCCTGTTTAGAGGCTTTAAGGGGCATCAGCAGTCTAGCTCCGAAAAAGATGTGGTTCCCCCATCAGAGGAACAAAGCAACGGTTGCCCCATCAACTGAAACCAACTAGACAAGACACGAAAGTGATGGGTTCCCCCTATCTTCGGCGAGCGGTGCTGCAGTGCACGTAGTCGGGTTCTGTTCCCCCGATCTGCCCTGCGTTCAAGAGGTGTCGTGTTAAAGCAAACAAGAGGAAGATAAGGGTCCAACGCCGTTAAATGAATAACTGCAACGGTATCCTCCAGTCAGGGCTTCCAGTAGGTGTGGGCATGGTGTGTCCCCCCATATCTGAGAGAGTACAATCCTCAAGCATCACCGCATACGAGTAGCACCTTACATGCAGAGTACCAGGCAACGGGGAACTACATCATGCCATGCTATGTCCGTGGTGTCTCCGGTGAAAGAGACATGCATGAAATCTCCCCGGTGCAGCATTGTTTCGGGCGCCAAAGAACCCCGTAAACCCATCAAACAAGCTCTCTCTTTTTTTCTTTTCCACACAGTCAAGAGAAGGGCCTTGCACCCCCCTCTGCGCGCGAGCGCGCACTGGTTGCGCTGTCCATGTGTGAAAGCTTTGCTCGATTTGGCTCGGGGACTCTGAGCACCTATCTAAGTTGTTGAACCCCCGGCCTCATCGGGCCCGTACCGGCACTGTACCCCCCCTCGTTGCTTGTTCTACAAACACAACTGTTGGGGGATCTGGGCGGCCCCGACAGAAACAGCTCTATGCATGCAAACAGCACCAAATGTTGACTACATGGTTATCGGGCCCCCCAGCTTTGAGCTTCCAAGGTTATTTTCAGAGCTGCCGGCACTGTACAGAAAACATGACTGCGTCTAGTTGAAGCAACACGTCCCCTTACTCTAAACAAGCTCTCTCTCTCTCTCTTTCTTTTTTCCCCAGGGCTGTGGTGGGGAGTTGCCCCCCCACCGCGCGCACGTGCGCCCCCGCCTGTCTCTCTTGCTTGCACTTGCTTGCACTTGCTTGCTTGCTTGCTTGCTTGCTTGCTTGCTTGCTTGCTTGCTTGCTGGGCGTTTGGGAGGGGGAAAGCAAGTTCCCCACCCCCTGCGCACAAGCGCTACGCCAGTGCGGCCGAGTCTGGTGCGTTGGAGTGAGACACGAGTGAAACCTCCAACCCTCGCACATGCAGGCTTGCCGTCCCCGCTTCGTGGGTAATGAGGGGCTCTGTGCGAGTGTCGTTGGCTTCTGTCGACCGCAGGTCCCCGACATTGCGGGGCACGTGGGGTGCTTTGTAGTCACACTTACAGCTCTGAGCGTTGTCCCGGTACCGAAGCACGAGCCAGCAATGCAGCTCGGAACCACTAATCACATGTTCTGTCCCTTGCTTGCACTCTCTCTCTCTCTCTCTCTCTCCCTCTCTCGCGGACTCATAGGTCTGTCAGCCAAAAAAAACTACAGTGCTCAAAGATACAGCAGGAGTCTGATTCTACATGCGCAAACCTGTCAAGTCCCCACAGAATGGCCGGGGCTCCAGGTCACGAACAACATGACGAAGCGGGAGCCGATCTGCCGGGCTGAAGTCGCGGCATCACGAGCTTCCTCTTTGTCAAACTCGTCTGGCATGTAACGGAGGGCTTGGCCCTGGACACGCTCTTGTTGACCGCTCCTTCGTGCAAGATCTTTGAGAGTATCATGGAGGCCTTGGCCATACCCCTCGACGGTGTGCACGCAAGACATCAATGCAACATCGAAGTGTACAATCCAGCTCCAAAAGGCTCGTGCTTGGATGCCGTCCGGTGGTGCGGTTCGCAGGAAGAACGGGTATGCATCCTTGTTCGACAAAGCAGGGCTGGTGGCAGAGAAAGAAATCTGCGGGACTTGCTGCACAGCTGCCACAGTAGCAATGGGCATTGTGACTGATGAGTAAGTCGCACCAATCAATCCAACAACGGGTTGCTCTCCGTCCAGTCCCCACATCATGTCCAAAGCGGCGGCCACGCCCACGTCCGGCTTGCCAGCAGTTTGCCCCTCACGCAAGGTGATGGCACTTGCATTCGGATGAACCTCCACTGGCATGTTCACAATGCGCGGGCCAAACCGGGAAGCAAATGATGCATCTCAATTTTTCCGATAGTCCAGGTCAGCAGCGATCACGGCGAGATTCAGTCCTGCACCATGCCCAAGAATGCCTAGAGTCAATTCGGCGGAGCCGCTGACACACCTTGCCGGACTGATCGCATGCCCCCTTTTCACATCCCTCCTACAGGTCTAACATGACTCAAGCAAAACTGCAAGAAACTGCAAATCTGGAAAGCCGACCTAAAGTCCAGAAGCAGCCACTGCGCGAGGAAAGAAAAACGAAGCATCTCGCGAAGCTGCGCTCTGCTCGCTACTACGTGTCAGTCCCCTGCAGGCGGGCAAGCAACGTGATGGGACGGCAATGGTTCAGAAACTGCAGGAATCATACTTCATAAGTTGATTCAGAAGGGCTGATGCAGTCGTGCTGGTCACATCAGACTGGCATTTCGACAGTAGTAAGCTCGCTGCTGCTACGTGTAAGCCTCCTGCGGAAGGTCATGCAACGTTATTGGAACACCCAACAATATAGCCTCAGTCATGTTTTGCTCAGACAATGCGCATTGCTGTTTGCATGAGGTAGCACCCGAGGACGCATCAAATCGGCATTTCAACCACGGTGAACTGCGTGCGCACCAGACGTCTTGACTTGTCAATGCCGCAAATGCTAACGCTCAAGATGTGAAACGCCGACGGTCCCGTCTCAGGATTTCTGCTCGCCGTCCTCCTGCTGTCGCTACGGACGCAGGGCATTAAACTCCTTGGCCTTTTGCCAGCGGCGCCGTCTCCTGCTGAGGGAAGGGGCCCTCCAAGTTTCCGGTGGTGATGGCGATTCCATAAACCTCGTGTTGTTTGGGGTTTCAAACGTTTCGGGTGCCTGGGAAAGCTTCGGTTGATAAGGTTGCTAAGTCTCTTGATCAAGGCGTTCTGCTGTCAACTAATGCGGCCTGGTGGCCAAGCCGGCGCCTGCAGAGAAAGGAACCAGGATATCCCAAAAGAAGTCCGATGCACCTAGAAGTGCCTTGGTCGGCAAGCATATGTCCTGCAGATGGCATCTGTAGGATTTTCACAAATCTGAGATGTCAGCCGCATCCGTGTCGGACATCCTCGAAAATGCATGTTGGAGTAGTTATTCGTGTGCCAAGCATACATTGGCCAGTTGTTTCTAGAAGCTTCGATGCCTTAGTGACAAGATTGCTTGTACTTTAACTCCAGGCAACATCCCCAAAACGTGCTGATGGTCTGCTCAGTAGGTGGCTGATCGATCATCTGGTTGCGGATTTGGTCGGGGTCAACGCCGGCTGCAGCATAGTATGCCTGTGTTCAGGGCATACTCCACCGGGAGTGTCGCAGTTCGAACTCTGAATATCTTTGAAAGTCATTGACATCGCAAGAAGCTCTTGTAAGGTAAATATGTGTGTATATATGTATATGTATATATGGGTGTGTATATATCTATATGTATATATATATATATATATGTATACATTGACCGGCCAAGGCTGTAGCGTAAGCACAAGAGTGGGTTTCACCAGCGCAAACTCAGGCCACGGCGTCCTGGTTGATCTCCGCCCTTGCCGGAGCCGGTGCCAGAACCTGGTTTCGGGCATTTTCGGGCTGACCCTTTTTACACAGGCTGACCCTAAACCCTGAACTCCAAACCACTTACTGTAGTGAGCATCAGGCTACTCTGAACATCGCGAGTCGTGGCATGTACCTATCATCCTGATGTTGCGGTACTGCACAGCTACCGTAGCACAGAGCTTGGTCCCAATCTGCCCGAATCTATTCATGGAGCCCCATCCCCACTGAGTGTATACAAGGGATCAGCTGCTTTATTATTGAGACTGTTAAGATGTCGCGGTGCAGAAGCGAACTCCGAAGCAGGAGCGTCGTGCGGCTTGAAGCCCGCCACATAATATGTACTCGTACGGCCAACCCACCACACCTGAACTCGTCTCTTGAACCTCTTGGCGGGTTGTCGCAGTGATACATTAACCGCAAAAAGGCAATAGCAGTAGCAATGGTGATCTACATCCTTCGCAACTCGACCGGGAAAACAGGCACACGCCTGCGCGAGACCGAGTGCCATCCAAGGCTGTGCCGTTCTGGCAGGGACCTTGAGATGGGCACGGCTCATGGGGGAGTTTTCCGATTTTTCTGAATTGGTGCTCCTTAGTGCTCATTATTGGTAGCTCACCTTGTCATAGACACAGTATCAGCAGGATTCTACTCCCTGTGCTTTGGTCCTCGGCGGGGTGTTTTGGGTTGAGGATTCCAGAGGTTTTGAATAATGTTCTTTGTCACGCAGCTCTTGACTGCAAGCGCCGGGGCGGGACAACGGCGCTCAGATTCTATGAGGGACGCCATCCAGTCCTTGAGCGATCCTTGCTCGATCGTCTTGCACGACCGTTTCGGTTGAGCCCTGCATCTATGCGCCTACATCCGTCATGCAACTGGCTGCGCCGCTGCGCTACGCTGCAGGCTCCGGGGATGCTGGGGTCAAATCTCACCATCTGTCTCAGATCTCATCGACACTTCCGGACATTCGTGGAATTTCGCAGTGCAGGGTCGCAACAGCATCACAATCACAAGGCCCGAACAAACGACGGAGTTGGGCATGCCCAGGCCACCAATGCCTGAAGTCGTCGCAGGCCCAGATCATGGCAGACTTGCTCAAGACGAATTACCAGCTCAAGGGCTTCTGATGCATATAGACAGAAATAGACAGGTATATATATATATATACATATTAAATATATATATATACATGTACATAATACGTAGATGTGTATGTAAGCGTATGTATGTATGTACCTATGTCATGCTGAAGCCGGATCCGAGGTGCCAGGACAGCGACTCCCAGCAGGCTTCTGCTCCTGGAAGCCTTCATTTCACTCTCCTCCGACCTCGGAGTGCGTGGGCGAAGGGGCGGAAACAAAAACTGACATCAACATGGTCTCCAACAAGAGACTCGACTCTGAGCAAGTCTCAGGCCCAAGCGCCCCCAAACACACAACCCACCAAACTATGTGCTGGATGGAGTTTGAGCTCAATTGCTGGTCCAGGCGATCATCGAAATGCATCGCTATCTCTGGATAGACAAGACCTTGTGCAGCTGGATGGTGTCAGTCGGTCAACGAAATCCAGACTCCACCTCCAAAGTCTACGCCGACGCATGCTCACTTCGAGGATAACAGCTCTCGCCCAGAACCTGCATTTTTTTATAATATCGGTCCTTTCCCCTTCTCTCTCCCCCTACTACTACTGCCTGCAGCCAGTGGCTCAGGAAATTGTGCAAGAGAGTTCACCTCTTCAGCTACCGCAGATTGTATAGTGTTGTGCAGGGCGCAGCGATGTCTCACGGGATTCTCAACAGAAGCCGTCCGATCTCAGATTGGCCGTCGTGATTGGCAGCCACGGCGAGCCAGCCTATGCCAGCTTACCCTGCAGTCAACGAGAAGTCGTCAACTGCATCCAGCACGTTCATGAAAGTGAGGGTGTCAATATCTTGTGCTGCTGACAGTGGATATCGCTTCTCAGATTCTTGCAACCAGCGCCGCATCCGTGCCCTCCACTCTTGCAAAGCACGGGACTGAGAACCGTCCAAGGCCAGGGACGTCCAGACTCGTCAAACTTCACGTGCCTGTCTGATGACGGCACCATGATAGCCATGCAGTCGACGCCGGCCAGTGTCAGACTGCCTGCCTCGCTTGAACGAGGGGACTGCGTACGTTCAGGCCTCAGATGGCATGCTCATTTGGGAGTAGTGAATAGTGTCGCTGCAGCACAAGCAAGCAGTTGCTATTTGATAGGTATCACCGTCAGAAACTCTCAAGCGTACTGTACGGCAACTGGTATTGCAGACTGAGCCCAGCGCATTGCCATTTCAAGTTCTTGTTGAACAGCCATCCACCCCTTGCAAGCGAAGTTGTGTTGTACACCTGAACCTCTCTAGCTCCAGCAGATCTTGCAGGGTGTGCGACGTAAAACACAATGCGCAATCCGCTGTTTGTTTTCGGCCATCTTCCTTCGGAAGGAATGTGTGATCAAATCGGTGGTGAGAACGGGCACGAGACGACGGGTATTCTTGCGCCTCCAAATACATGCATGGTGGCACGCAGGCGAACAACAATTTCAGAACTGGTTGAAAATATTTAGTATACTGATACACTTCTAGCTGTGAAGCTGACAGTCGGGGCATCGATGGCTTGCGGTCGGAATTCCACCAACTGCAAACGCTTGCAGGCGAATTGGTGCATAAACGTCGCCATGCTGGGGTTCTGGTGTATTGTCTTCCGGAGTAATTTTTCTCCGACGTGTCCCAGCTCGACCCAACCCCCAGTATGGCAAAGATTGTCAGAGCCTATCTGCCTGGCATGTGCACTAAAAACTTTCCAGCCTTGCCGATTCCCCGAGAGCGCCACGGGCTGCTCTTCCTGTGCTGGGCACCATTCCGGTCCATCTGGCGCTGGTCCCTATGGAGCTCCCGATACGCTGGAGACACGCCATAGGCGCGAAGAACCCCGTGCCTTGAGTGCAGTGCGGGGCTACGTGCCTCGACTCCACGATTCAATGGGCGCCCGGCAAGGGACGCATCGCTGGTGATGCCTGTACGCATTGGTGGCGGAGACCGATGTTCGGCATGTGCGTGCTGTGGACGACGTGCCGTGTGTACGGGTGCTGGCGCCACACCATGCGCAGCCAGGCTCGTCAGGTGTCTTCCAGGCTTTCCCGAAATCCCAGGCGGCTGTGGCACACTCGCTTGCGGAAGCGGAGGGTTCGCCAACAGTCCTGACAGCTTCTCGAATTCAATTGGCTACCGGGCATGCAGTAGGAGGGCAGTGCATGCTTTTGCGTTGTAATTACTTAGCTGCTTCCGCTTGTAAATTGTAAACATGGGAGTTTCCGAACATTAGGAATACCTTATTTTGCGGTCCTCATAATAAGGATATACTACTATTTCGGGTCCTAAATTCGAGCCCCCTATTTTCGGAAACCCCCACATGTTTGTTTCTGAGGGGCATGTCTTTAAACTGCCCGCCCAGGCCCAGGCGCAAGGAGACGACAGGCCCACCCCTTTAATACCGCATGAACAACCCGATAAATCCCACGTAGTAGCCCAAGATCGACTTATCGGCCAAACTATCCCCCCCTTCCCGATGAGCCAGAGACTGGACGCAAGTGACTCTTGACAGGTATCTTCGGGCAATGTTGTGCCAGATGGGCTGCAAGATGCTGCAGGAGAGTAGCGCTTTGTTGCGGGGGACATTAGAAAGGGAGAACGGATGAATTCTGCTGAAGTGGGAAAGCATCTTGCCTGCAGCCAGGGCTCTTGGTACTTTGCCCCGGTCCTCTTGCAACGAGGCAATTCCTTTGATCTGCGAAGCCAAAGGCACTTCCAGGGCTCTCCAATTGATGGCCTTGTCCTCAGTCTACTGATCCATGGAAGCCAGCATTGTGTTGTCGCATGAACTGGGGGCTGGGCATGCATTGATAGGCATCGCTCCAATTCAGAGGCTTCTCTTGGAGTCACCTGGCAAAGAAGCACTCAAACTTCGACGAAGGTCGAGAAAAGTGTACACAGTGCCGCTTGTCCGCGGAAAACCCCCACCGCAGAGACCCGCCTGCCCGACGCAGGAGGCAGTGCGTTCGCGCTGCCGCAGGGGGCGGTTGTCCCAGTGCTCGAATTCATCTGTCTCCTGCTAGGTAGCTGCAGCTATGTCCGGAACATACCTTGCAGACTCGACTGCTACACAAGCTGACATCCCACATGTTTCAGTGCACCCGCAACAAGGAGGAAGCCGGTGAGCCCCTCAACTTCCTTCAATCACAGATCCGGTGATCCTTGATGGCTTGGGTGGACTGCATTCTTTGCTCACGCAGTGGCGGCAGTGGTGTTAAGTAAATGCAGAAAGCATTGGACAGGCGCTACACGATGGCAACGAAAAAGAACTCGGAAACTGTTGCACGCAATTCATAGCAGCGACAGTAACTTAAAGCTTAAAGGTGTCGTCAAGAATGTACCTGCAGCCTCTCCTTTGCCGCCGGCGCCCAAGCTTGCATGATTCGCAATGGCCCATGATCTTGTACTGGCCTTGGTTTGGCTGGCACTGTCTAATCGCTCCAACGAACACTAGCTAAGAGTTCGCGATCCTCGAGCTTGAAAGCAAGATTGGCATGTCAAGACCTCCTGGCCAAGCTGCATCTCCGAGGTGGCACCAAGGAGGAAGGCTCGATCTCCGAGCCTTCGTGAGGTGACACAGGCTGAAAGCTTCCACCATGGAACACAGGGGGTGTGCCTTCCCCTGCGTGCAACCTCATGGTTCGCTTGATTTCCGTCACCACCCATAACCACGTATGTAATCAAAAACCAGCGAAGGTCCACATGCAGACTGAGCGTGTAGCCGCATATGCGCAGATCGGTGGGCAAAACTATGTAAACGGATACGAAAACAAGCAGAGACACACACACACACACAAAAAAAAAAGGTAGATCGACACATGGATACACACGCAGCACATATTCGAACACAGAGGGACATGACACCATCTATACTATACATCTAGGTACGCTTACGCTCGGACGTGCCTGCGAATATATCTGCATATACATGTACAAACAGTATAACTATGTACACACAAACACGTATATGTATATACACTCTCGTCGAGCTCGAGACAGGAAGCTGTGCACCATAACAAAAGTTTCAGCACACGCATGCACAACAGATGTGTGCATGCATACACACCTGTGCATACATACACATATGTGAATGAATGATTACAAGCACGTACATACATACATACATAAAAACAATTAATTAAATAAGTAGGTACATACATTATATAACTATATATATATATATATATAACTATATGCATACACTTAAATATGTATATAATGTATATACACACAAACTCACCTGAACGTCAAACACTGCATAGCAAGTACATAGCTGGCAAAGTAGACATGTGTGCTAGTATTGTGCTTATGCGATATGCAACACCCATTACAAACATGTTTTTCCAACTCATGTCGTCGCATTGGTTGCGGTATGGCGGGAGTTGCTTCGCTTTTGCACTTTGCAACCCTGTGTTTTCTGGGGCTTGAGCATCGTGCTTGAGCGTTTGATGTTTGAGCAGTACGTGGGTAGGCAAATAGTCCGGCCGACAGGGAACAAGAGAGGGAAGAGGCCTGCATGCGATCATGTACATATGCCCGCGTGCGCTGACATACGAACCAATCTGGTATTTAGCCATGGCCGCGCCGTTAAAGCAACGCGAAGAAAACCTTTTACCATTATAATTACATCAGGTAGCTGCCCCTGTGGCTCGCTTGGGAGACTCTTGCGCTGAGCCAAGATGTGGTCGTTGCGCAAGCGGAGTTGTTCACGAAGCATCACAATCCTTGTTGGCATGCAACGACCCAGGCAACACAATGCTCACTCACTTGGGACTGCTGCACCGTGCCACCTTCAGGTGGAGCCCAGCCCTGAAACTCTAAACTGTATAATAACGAAACATTGCAAGACTACATAGATGTGAGGATCTCGCGGGCCCCGCGAGGGGGATTCCAAACCGTATCAGTCAGATCCTCCCTTGATGCGACTTAGATTAGACTTCTGCGCTCACGCTCGGACAAGCAATGCGAGGTTGTTGTTGCTGAGTCGGGGGGCCTTACAGAAGCGGACTCGCTCCAAGTCTCTCCAAATCTCGGTCTTCCAGCTGTCGACGGTGGATCTCCCAAAAGTGGTCCAGCTCCAGGCGCTCGTATTCCAAGACCTGTGCGTACATCGCTCACCGTTCCTGCGTCTTTTGTAGCTATAAATGTGAATACTGCCCAACGACGAATTTCAACCTGATGCAACTTTCTTGATGGCAGAAGAATGACAGAAGCTTATGAGCAAGGGGTCAACTTGTGTATAGAATCTGCGCGAGAACCAGCAAGGCTTGCATGGTCTCGAATCTTGTGTTTCTTTCGTAAATACTGGGGTCAGCCAAAACCGTCTGAGGCGGCACGGCAAGAACAAGAACTTTAGAGCGTCTGTCTAGGGAAAAGTTTCCTTGACCATCGTCTCGCACAGCCTTTTGCCTTCAGGGTAGAGGGTAGCGGACTGTGCCGCCGACCGAAGAGGAACAGATTTTGCACATGTTGTCTCAAACCTCGCCGCACAAGCTTCAAGAACTTCGACCATTCCGTGCTGTCCGCGAGTTGCTCCCGAATCTACCGGTATGGTGGTGAGCTGTGGTGAGTCGACAAAGGCTGGAGGCGCTTGCGGAGAGTGCTGTTCCCCGGCGTGGTGACTGGTGCTTGCTTGTTACTCTTTCCTGATTTTTCATCTTGGATCGGTCACAACCCTGTGTAGCGCCTGTGTACTGAGGCAGGTAGCTCAAGGCTTCCAAAGGTACAGGAATCCATGCCCCTTTTGCTCGAAGGACGCCAGGCATTGCACAAACCAGCAGAACATCGGCTCAGTCCGGCAAGGTAAGAACCGAGGACTCATAGAGAGGCTGCGCCAGCTTCAGAAGTTCAAGCCCCCAAGGGTTTCGATCGAAGCTCCATGAGCTGTAAGAAATCAGAAGCTCAATGAATCTTAAAGCCTTGGATTGCAAGTCTGCGCCGGCGTGCCTGCACTCGCTGAACCAACTCGAGGAAGGCCCGCAAGTCCTCGCAGGAAGTTCTCTCATCTTCTCTGGAATCGGGCTTCGAAGGCTTCGTAGGAAGGCTGTGCCCTGTTGGAGCTCTACACTCGACTGCCACACCAGAAGTTGCGGCCAATGTGATGCACCACCGCAGCAAACCAGAAGCAATCCGGGCTCCTCGTTCAGTACTCGCCGCGGCAGCTGAGCTTGGAGCTCTTTTCCTGCAAAGGAAACAAGCCCTAATATAGTACCCTAATTAATAGGATCCTTAT